TCTTCTTCCTCGTTTAACGAGGACGACGTTGATGCCGACGGAGCCGATGCATCTTGGTTCTGTTGGCCAGTGACCTCACCGAGGACGGGAATCTCGGCCACGTTCGAAGGAACCGGAGATTCATCCACGAGCTCTGTTGCCGGTAGCGGTTTGTCGGCGTCTGTCTCGGCGTCGCCAACAATGACTCACGTCGAGCTGAAGTTTTCTGGTTCATCAGTTTGAGGTTTGACAGCGTTTTTGGAAACATACCTACGGCAGTCTTCCAGCGACTTGTTGATTACTGTGTCCCGCTTCACGAGAGTCCTCGTTTGTGCCGGATCCCTGCGTGATGCGCACGGCGTAGTGATGGAGCTGTGCGGTGTGGCGCTCGCAAATCCAGCGCAGGTCTCTGGCATCTGGCGCCATCTTCTTGTGATGTTTGGTGGCGTCATGGACGCTTATGAGATACATGTACCTGGTTGAGTGTTGCTCATAGTAGCGCTGCTGCTCACCGTACCAATCGTTTACTTGCTTGGGCTTGAAAGAAGATAAACCCACCAGGATCGGGCTTGAGGCACGTGTAGGACTAGAAACGGGGCTTCGCTTGTTGTTCTCCATAAGGCACGTCCTAGTGGTACATGTTGCCACACGACGGATAGTACATGCGTTGGTCCTTTGGGTCTGGGAAGTAGCACTGCTTCTGCAAGCTGTGGTTCGGGCCGTGATTAAACGGGCCCTTGTAGTCACTGCGCTCGGTGAGCCCATGGTTTCCCTCGCCCATCGAGCTTTACACGGCATACCTTGCGGACGAGTCCGCCCACTGAAGCGTCGTGGATCGCGTGGAAAGCGGCGGGTTTTTCAGCGTGTGCTCGAAACTCGTTCTAGTTGTGGTTGGCGCGTATAAGTAAGTCGTCGCTTGGTTCGACGCCAATGCGGGAGGAGTTCTGAGGTCCGTCAAAAGCGAAGTCGTGGCCTGTGGCGACATTGAGGCAAAAGAAGTCGTGAGGTCGGTTGCAAGCGAAGTCGAGGCCTGCTGCGACGTCGTTACGAGAGGGGTCGAGAAGCCAGTCGAAAACAAAGTTCCGGCCTGGTGTGACGTCGGTACGAGAGGAGTCGTGAACCTGGTCGAAAGAGAAATCACGGGCCGAGAAGGAGTGGTGGTGGACCTGGGAGCATTACGAGGCGACCATTCACATGCACCCCGATCTCACCGTCATCGAAAAGTTCAAGTACTTGAATACGTATACTTATCCAGCGCTGCGAAGCGGGCCATTGAAGGAATGTGCCTTACAGAAGCGAACTACAGCATCGCCGTCAGAAGCTCACCGAAAGGTTTGGCCCAAAGAATGTCCTCATCGACGACCACGTTGACAGCCTTCTAGCCATCGACCAATATAGAAATCATTGCAAGTATCAAGGCTGTGGAACCTGTACGAGCAGATACAGTTCCGGGCCAGCTGTTTGGAGAGCCTTGGTAGGCCGCCTTCCGAATATGCGCTTGTTCTGCAACTGGTTCTGATGCGCTTATTGTTAGAGGACCTGGCGATCCAGTACCGAAGACGCATGACAACCGAGTCAGATGCCGCGGATTCTGTAGTCCAGTCGAGAAACGAGCAAGTGGAGGCAATCCTGAAACTCCTTCAAGTTGAAGTCAAAAGCAGAGAGGAGAGTCGCGCGCCACGCGAGAAACCCGCTTCAGCGAGCCCGTCAACGAACCGTAATAATACTACGAACACCATGACGCCACGTTATCTGCCGTCCGCATCAGCACTGACAGCACGGTCATCATCGGCAAGTTTGAATTCAAGGCCTGAACAGACGATATGTCCCCTCTGTGGCACCTAGGGACACATGACGCGTGATTGTCGGGTCACGCTATCAGCAGAGGAAAAGTGTCAACGTCTTTCCAGCAGCAGCTGCTTCAGATGCGGGAAGCAAGGACACATTGCTCGCAGTAGCCGAACCGCACCCTGGCTTAAGTGCGACCGATGCTCCAGACGCCATATCTCTGCTCTGTGCGAGATCTGGCGCCAACGAGGAGCTGAGAGTCCACAGTTGACTGCAACTGAACATCTAGAGGTGACCTCACAATGAGAAAAGCGCGTAACAACGGCCCCTGCCAGCAGCACGCACTCGTCGTCTGTGTTGCTCCAAACAGCTACAGTTTGGGCATACGGAACTGGTGGGCGCGTACCAGTGTGACTGCTGCTTGACACCGGCAGCCAAAGAATGTTCATCCGTAAGAGCATATCACAGCAGCTTCGCCTATCTTACATTGGAACTGAAGAGGTGGACGTCTTTACGTCCGGTGAGTCAAATCATCCACGACATTACCAGTGCCGAAGGGTAAACGTCACGCTCAGTGGACGTATGGGCCTATCGACGTCGATCTTGAAGCTCTGGAGGTGCCAGAGGTCTGCGCTGTAACTGGTCCCACGTTGAAGCCGGGTGTTATCGCTATGATGCGTGACCGCAATCTGGCGTTTGCTGATGCACCTCAAGGAGACCAACCCCAAGAGTCCATGATAAGCATTTTGATCGGCTCAGATCACTACTGGGGGGTAATGACCGGGCGCGTCGTTATCGACTCTCTGTCCGCAGTTGAGACCATATTTGGCTTGGTCCTTCAGGGAGTGGCCGCTAATGTCAACTATCGGTTGTCGTCGCGTAACATCAATGCCACTGCCTCGTTCCTGGCTTGTTCCGACAACTGGCGCGCCAAAGTCCTACCTCGAGACCCATCAGCCATCTGGCGCTTAGACGCCTTCAGCGTCACTCACGGACAAGACGACGTCAGCAAGCACCCAGTACTCATCCACTTTCGTAGCACAGTACGCAAGAGAGCAGGACGCTACGAGGTACCGCTGATGATCAAGACACCAGGTCTCATGTCGTGGACGAACCGAAGTGTGGCTGAAACCTGGCTCAAGCATCAGCTTCAGTGGTTCGAGCATCACCCAGAGGTCGCCGCACGTCGCGCGGGCCAGTTTTTGCCATAAGGTTTCAGTGCTATGACACTAAGTCCAGAGATTGACCTGGAAGTTTCCTGTATCTTGTCGCAGTTATAGTGGCAAATTTGGGAAGGATCGATAGTACTGGACCTTCCAATGCTGCTCGTGCCAGAGAGTCGGTGATTTCATTTACTTCTAAGCCGCAATGACCAGGTACCCATACAAATTTCAGTAGCTGCAGCTGAGGAGGGACTAGCATAAGGAGCGTCTTTAAGGCCATCAATTTTGTTGACGCAGTAATCGACGTACACACTGACAGGGAATCCGTGATTATGATCGTGTTATAGGCATTCGAAGGTAGCTTCCGCAGCGCTAGAACTATTCCGATGCCTTAACATCATTCTCTTTATTCTCCGATCCCACGCGCTCATCCTCATCTTCTTTCCTATATACATCACTTCCGTGCTCCGACGAGAAAGCAGCCACGTGTTTACTAGTTTAATACCATTGGCACTTATAATACTACTTTTGAGTACGGACCATATGTGAAGGAACATCATCGTTGTCTTGCGCTCACGTTACAGCGTTATTGGATATGTGAAAGAACTATCGTTTAACGTGGCCACGGTGAACGTGGTATTTGTCGCGTGCTCATTGAGAAATGTGGCGAAATTAGATCATGTTTAATAAAGACAAGAGCAGCGAAAACAAAATGGAGCAAGCGCGAGATTTTGACATTACGGTGTCTAGCGTCGATTCGATTTTTTTTCTGCGCAGCTGGAAAAATAAATCGCAAAACCGATTCGCACTGCTTTAGTTCTGAAATCACATATGACCATATCAAACGAAAGCGCGCTGTGAGCAGGTCAGAAAAAAAGATGATGCTGGCATAGCCTAGGAAGCTATGCTACTGGCAACAAGGGTTGAGTGGATTCTTTTTTCTGCAAGGCGACGCCAGACACCCAGTCAATCCAATCCAAATGAGTAATCTGCCGTCCTTACATTCTTTCCAAAGTGTTATCTCTATTAATTGGAACCGATTTGCCGTTCTGGAGCGATGGTCAACGGCGTGGTCTCTGTCATCGCTTAACAAGGTAACCGACACAAAACCGTCTATTCAATTTCAAGCTAGACTTCGCTTTGAAAACACTGGCGTATCGCTAGATGGGCAACGTTTCGTTACTCGCGTTCCGAAACTGAGCTTTCCTGCTATGTACCGGCTCGCCCAGGTGATCTCTACGCCCACATTTGCCGTTCCCACTGTGATATATCCTGCGATGCCTGATATAGGCTTAAAACGGCTCTTCGCACGCAGCTCCGCAAGGATATATCGATTGTGCGCTGAATCAGCTTGCGCCAATGACACCCGAGTGAACGCGATCGAGATATTTGCTGCATAAATTGTCGACCGTGTTTCCTCTGCCTTGCTTAAACTTCGGTGAATAAAACAGGTGCGCTCCAACACGACGCATGTGTCTCTTAGCCGCAGCGGTTGCTAACGTTCTTTGTAACTACTGGAACCTACTTGTTTGAAGCGCCTGACAACTGCTGCTTTGACGGCCACATATGCGTCCTATGCATGCGGTTTCCCTTAAGCTGTGTTTAGAAGTGTACGGTGTTTCGCTGGCGTACGCCGGTGTATGTTACTTGGGGTAGACGTATTTGCGCTCGTTTTGCGGGCTTACGTACTCGTGACAATCGCAGATCTTTTTTTTTTTTTTCCTTGTTTTCCTGCTGGAAGAAACATCCCGTTGCGGCACTCGCTGGGCGTGGTTCTGGGACGAGCCGCCTCGCACCGGTGAAGGTTGCATCGTTTTTGACGTTTCAGTGTCGTGTGCCGTTGTTTGCGCGTCCTTCTATGCGTGCCGAGCGTACTATCCGCCGCGTTTGTGGGGCGAGAGCACCCCCGAAGCTGCCTTCCGAAACCGTGTCCTTGGCTCGCGCCACGTGAGGAGTTGACGCGCGGGGGAAGCCCTTCGTCACGAGCTTAGACCACTGAGGAAATTGCGTGGCTTCCGCCTTCGCCGCATGAGCCGGCGGCTTGTCTCGCCCACGCGCAGCTATCGGCGAGCGCGAGATAAGACATACCACGCCGCACAGGGAGAACGAGAAGTAAGCTACCGCCGCGCGTGAGAGGTCTTCTCGGCATTTCCACGCGAAAGTTTTGACAGCGCCGCAGCTGGCCGGCAGGCGGTCTTGTTTACGTTTTCGCAGGGCTCGCCGTTTGTCTCTGCTGACCCGCGCGATATTAGTCACCGGTGGCATTCTTCGAGCGCGCACGGAGTTTCTGGAGGTGTTTCATTGGAGACGGCGTTGCTAGAAGGCGCCTTCGTTCTTATCCAACGGCTGCGTGCGTGTACCCTATCTGCGCCGGAGTCAATCTGCATTGCGACTTCCTTCCGGACCGAACTCGATCTCAAGGCTGCGAGTTCCTCGAAGCCGCCGCGCATGCGGCTTGACGGCCGGGGGAAGCCCTTTTGTCACGAGTCTGCTTTCGAGGATGTTGCGTGACTTTCCAGCTTCCTCCTTTTCTGTGCTTCCTCTCTGTCGCGTTTGATTACATAATTGTAGAAGGAAGGAAAGTACAGAGAATCTGGCAGAGAGTCGGCACCTTCGAGGGATGCCGATCCGTCTCTCGGCTCGCCCTTTAAGAAGTCGGGGTTTTCTAGTCTTTCGCTTCAGTCGTCGCACGTCCGCATGCCGATTAAGACGCCACACGTTGTACACCAGACTCTACATTTTTGGTAAGGCTTTGTTGTTGTTTTTTTATTGGACAGTTTGTCACATGTTGCCCGAATGTATTAGGAGCGGTGGCTTTGCACTTAATGTCTTGAAGGGTGACATATATACGTGTGGACGACTACGCTTAAAGTCCATATACTACCCATAAACCCATATACTACATTACCCATATACATACATAAATGTATAAACGTATAAACCCATATACATACATTACCCATATACTACCCATATACTACCCATAAAGTGCATCCAAAAAGGTTCGACGTTAACCTTTGAACAACTGAGATAAGATACCGTAATGTTGATTAGCCTTGCAGGGAGCCAGATTCAGTGTTAAAAGCCCAGCAGTTCATTCGCATTGGGGTTATTGTTTCAGTTTTGTGGGTTTGTTATTGCACATTTTATGAGGGTATGTTTGTTCAATTGTCTGCATCGTTTGAAATAACATAACATCATATCCTGCTGTACGAAGCTTTGCTATTTCCTAGAGCCAGTGACTGACATGAACATCCTGATCATTAATACAGAGCTTTTATCTTGTTTTCTCTAAACTAACAATTTGTTTTTATAAAGACTAACATACTGTGTGCTAAAGTTATGTGTACATGCAAGGCATCGATAAAATAGAGCATAACGTATTCATGCCATTTGGATATTGTCACAGTTTTACGTTAATATGTGTGCACATTTTGCAAACAACATCGCTTATAGATGTCAGCTTCCGGTGTCGAAGCGATCCCCATGGTGATAGTATTTCATTGGCTTGCTATTATGAAAGAACGTATGAGCAACCTTTGCTGCGTTCTAGTAGATGACACCGTTCCTGATAAATGAGCCAACCTATCGCTGAAATGTCTTTTTCCTTTTATCATACCATTCATTGCCATTGTCATACCAGTACACATTTTGTTCTGCTTAATGAGCTTTCTTTTGTCCCCAGTCATTAGCTCTCTGGATTAGCTGTATGGAGCTGGCATTCTACACAAAAAAATTACTGTTTCAGCTGTGCCACAGCTGAAACATTATCAGCAACACTGTCTATTTTGCAAGCATGAAAGAGAGAGAAGGGATGAGCATGTGGAAAGGTTCCCTTACCTTTCTCGTTCTATTTGCTTTGATATAGGGTGCGGTATGTTTATGAATGAAAAACCACAAGACGGCTTGCACTGTCTCTGTTGCACAGGGGTTAGGCTGCATCTGTCTCCGCATCGTGTCGGTCAGCATACTTCGTATCTTGCATGCCTTTCACCATGCGGAGATGCTAAGGTTCCGTAGTGGTGCACAGCCCGACTTTGTCTTGCGTACATGCAAGTTGTTATCAGTTTGAGTTTGGGGATCCTAGCTGTCGAAACATGCTGGCTGCGTAGCAGTTGTACAGGTTTTTATACTTCCCTGGATTTGTTCAGTGTCAATTTTTTGGGATGTGGGGGCACAGAACAATGCGTCAGTGAAACATCAATATATCCATCTGCTTTGTGCAGGACTGAGTGACACGCGAATTCGGACTCGGTGGTGTGCTGAAGCGCAAACCCGGTGGCAGCGATGGCCGAGTCCAGGAAGTTGGGCAGCTTGCTGCAAGAGATGAACCGTGACCTCAAGTGTCGCAAAGGGTGCAGCTACTACGGGAACCCCGAATGGGATGGGTACTGCTCTCAGTGCTACAAAGAGCTCCGAGCGGCGCAGGCAGCAGCAGCAGCTCCAGCCAGCCCTCTAGGAACCCAGCCGGCAAGACGGTAAGTGTGCATGCCTCATTGCAGTTGAAAGAACTGTTGTGTAATTTCCTAAATTGCCTCAGTACGCCCTTGCAACCATTGTTATGTGAAGTACCGCTGCCAGTTACGGCGTCATTTGATGACACATGCTCAGTGAATGTGTCAATAAAAAGGGAGAGGGAAAATAAATAGTGCTGGACTAATACCTTCATATCTTGATCAGTACCTGTGATTTAAGAACAATAATAATATGGACGAGAAATTGTGGTTCCACACAGTCTAAGAAACCCGTAAGTTCTGATAAGTTTGCAGATTGCATAGGTTACGGAAGTCTACTTTGGCATGCAGAATTCGCTGCATAAGATGCGTGATGAATGGCTTGAATGTTAAGGCCTTCAAGACATTTTATTCATGGAAATTTATTCCGGAACGACCAGAAGCGGACTGACAGATCACTTGCGTTGTCGCGGGACGGGTTGGAGCTCTTGAAATGACAACAGATTGCGTGCTACCGATTGCAGCATTATAAGCAGCTTGACCCTGTTCGGGCTTCACTTTTTGAAGCTCTTCCAAGCGCTCCCCTGTTCTGGTACACTCTAGCGTAACAGAATGCAATGTCATTTATAACGCAACATGTGACGCATAGACACAGTGGGAACCAGGAAACACCCCAGCGTACAGTTCCTAGTTGGATGCATCATTCGCTTGGTAGGAAAAAGTATGCTTGACGTTGCTCGAAAACACCTGTCATGACTGCTCACGCGGGTTAGCATAGCGACTGCATTCAATTAAAGAACGTCATGTTCCAAGTGTAATACATCATCACAGGCGGAATGAGGAAACACTTGCATGAAACATTGTGCTGCTCAAGTGGACAAAACAGCTGCCGAGTGCTGTGCATGGGCCAGGACAGGCGAAATCTGAAAGTGGTGCACCGTCATAAAGCAGTTGCTATGCAATGGAGGAAAGACAAGGGCATTGGTGCACTTTCGCTTTTGTGAGTTAGCTGTTGCTATGCCGCACAACACGCACGTCAGGCATCTCGAAGCACATGGCTTTCGCAGGAGAACTGGTGTTGTCATCATGCTGTTGAGTCATGCTGTTGAGTCCATTGAGCAGTGGGTACTGCGCTGGGCTGTTGCACTGGGGGGCGTGAAAATAAAACTCACTGTCAGTTACGTAACTCTAAGAATGATGCTTTCGGCTATGACCGGAGTTCTTCAATCATACGAGTTTTGAAAACCTTCGTGGGTTTTTTGTGTGAAAATTCGGACACATCATTGTCCAATATTGTGGAGGTCTACTGAGAGTACTACCTTTTTTGCATGAGAAAACAAGCTGCTAAATAGCAGTCATGTGCGTCGTGTTGCACAAGCCTGCAAGTGATGGCACTATAAAAGAAGCAAAAAGTGTTTGTGTTCATGACTTATTTTTGCAGATGATATTGTGACTGTAGAACTCTTTGACATTACTTGAAAGCAGTTCTAATTCTTACTCCAGCAACTTGCACAGTTACAGCGATGACTGCAGCAATTGCGGCTATGCTGTTCACTTTCTAGTGCTGTTGCCAGGCGGTACGTCACTTGGCTATTCTCCGCAAATTTGACCACAGACTTCTGTATTTTTAAACAGGCTATTTCTTTCATTATTCTTCTTTGTGCAAAAAGTTTAGACCATGCGCCATTAGATCATGTGCCATGTGCTTTCCTTTAGGACAAACAAGCGATATGTTTATCTGTATCGTCAGTGTCTGCCGTTTGATGATGGCGCTAAAATGCCATGCATATCCTCAAACAATTCCTTTGATGTAACTTGATAAAACCATTTTTTGTACTGAGAAAGGTGTGTTCAAACAATCATTCAAGGAGCTAACTTCGCAAGTCAAATTCACTGCAAATACATGTTATAAGTACAATGTCATGTAAATTCATGTAATTGTTCATTTGTAAAGAAAAAAAAGTAGGAAATCTTGCATACTGTGCATTTGGTGGAAACTTGCCTTTAAAATCCAGTACGTGTTAAATGACATTGCTCTAAAAGCAACAAAAAAAGAAAAATGTATCTATCAGCCTTTTCTGCTGGCAGTTTTTGAACACCGCCAAGGTACCTTTGATTGTGCTGCATACAATTATACATTCTGTGAGATATTTATTTCATTGAATATATCAATTTTTTTAAGCACGTCACATTCATTTTGGGCCGTTTATAATGCGATATATTTTGAAAATTTGTAATAAAAAGGTTTATAGGCTTTACTGTGGCACCAGTATGTTACTACGGGGCAAGTTTTTACCTCCTTGGTTTTAGCAGTAATTAAATATCTTTGTGTCTTGCTTTTTTTGTTTTTACCTCGAGAGTAAGCCATGTAAGCTAAACTAGACCATTACTCTTTGCACTTTAAGTACTTTCGGAAGTTCAATTCAAGCTAAAAATCGGGATTTTTTTCTGCTGTTGCATGTTATAATGGTTTTAATGGTGCAACAAGGGTGTTAGACAAAAAATTTTTAACCCACTAAGCTGATCGTAAGTTGATATATTCAAGAAAGAAATAACTGAAGCATTCAGTGCTATTTTAGGTAAACCTTTCTGTCTAAGAATATTCGACTATTTTCCAGTGGTTGCATATCTATCACGAAATTAATTCACCTAAAGATCATGAAATATTGAATCATATGCTAAAATCAATAACAGGCTGATGTTATCACTAGCAAATGACTCTCAATGTTAGCAAATCAGCAGTCATGTGTCTAACTAGAAAACAAAAAGCCTCTCAATACTCATACACAGCCGACAGCAATTCGTCAAGAACTGTTAATCAATATACATATCTTTGTGGGGTAATATTTGCCAACCTCAGGAGGAACTCTGACGTTAATGTCATAACATTAAAAGTATTAAAAGAACTTTTATTCCTTCGAAGGCGACTACGACATACAACTCCAGAAATTAAATTGCTCACTTATACTATATTTGTGAGACTTGCTTTAGAATGTCATAATGTTGCTGGATATACATGTATCATTAAACTAGTAAAAAAGCACGAGAGAGTGCAGAGAAAGGCAATTCAGTTCATTTATAATGAATATAACCTAATTGCCTCACCATCTGAACTAATCAACAGAGCTGGACTACTAACCCCACAAAATTGTGCCAAACAAGCTCGTCTGAAAATAATTTACCAGCTGATATATAACTTGCTGTACATAGATAGCACTCGCTACCTGTCCAAATCTAAAACAAGACAGACCCGTTTTAAGCATACTCAAAGACTACAAAGTTGCAGCTTTAGTACTGAATGTGTCAGATTTTTTCTGCTTGAAACCTCAGAATGGAACAGCCTACCCTCTCAAATTATCTATTGTCCTACATTAGAAACTTTTCTACAGTCTGTTGAGTCTCACTTATTTGCCTCACAAGTATAACTCTCTGGCTTTACTTTACTATGTTGTAAATACCTTTATTCTTTAGTATTTGATGTTAGCAGTTTTTTTATATCATTTTCCTAGTTTACACCCCGCCACGGTTGTCTAGTGGCTAAAGTGCTCGGCTGCTGATCCGCAGGTTGTGGGATCAAATCCTGGCTGCGGCAGCTGCATTTCCGATGGAGGGGGAAATGCTGTAGGCCCGTGTGCTCAGATTTGGGTGCACATTAAAGAACCAAAGATGGTCAAAAATTTGCAAAGCTCTTCACTACAACGTCTGTCATTATCATATGATGGTTTTGGGACATTAAACCCCACATATCAATCGATCCTAGTTTGTGAAAAATGTATACATATATATATAAAAAACTGTAACCTACTATACATTTTTTCTACATCTTGTATCATGATTTTTAATTGTGTACCTTCGACAGTGTAGTGTTTGCCTGCTTTTCATAGTGTCACTTTTTCTTGCTGATTATATTATATATTGTATTTACTTACCCTCCCTGCTATTGTTCCGTTGTGCGATTGGCAGTATGAATAAGTAAAATAAATAAAAATAAATAAATCACAGAATATCCATGGAGTGCATGATGATGAGTGGGGCGATGCTTCCGTGCATACGTCCACGCGTTCAATCGCGTTCGAGAATATAGACAACGCGCGGGTAACACTGACAAGATGCGAGCCAAAGAAGCCGAGCGCAAGCGTCTTCAACGCGCCCGTCGCTCTGCTTCGTCCATGCCCCACCAATGATCCGCCACGTACAGCGACTATCCAAGAGACTGACAGAGGCACTCATTCTCTGTGTACCCAGGCACAGCCCGCGCAGTGGCCAATCAGAGAGTAGCGGTACAGCGCCATCTAGAATATCCTCAGTCAACTGCAATTTGTATGTACTTATATGAGACAGCGCCGTCTATTATACTGTTCAGGAGACAGTGCCTTATTTTCTTTCTCGTCTCTTCTTGTCTCGGTTACGCATGACGCAATACAAGGTTAGACTAATAGGAGCTTTGCCCCTAATAATGTATCGGGCTTTATCTTAAGAAATCCTAGATGCCATGAATTGTTATGCTGTTCATAAGAGTATTCATACAGCACCACATTTATTTAGCCTCCAGTACAATGAAGCATGCTTATCTGCAATTTCCCTGTATGAACATTTCGCCACCGCCTGACAAAGAGTTCTGAAGCGTTTAATTGAAATCACCATCATAGGTGCGAGTAGTCAAATAATCATGTGCAGCTGCATACATATTTATATGTTGGACATTTTCAGCGAAAGAATATTTGGATGTAACACAGTATAGTGCAAATTTTCACAACTATCCTGATTTGACTGAATTACGTGGTACTCTGAACAGAGAGCTTTTACTGCCACGAGTTTTCAGAGTACGGAGTTTATAGAAGGAAATGAAGTGATCCTGTGGAGCCTGGTTGCACAGCATATCATCCATAGTCACAACCTGCACTATTACATTTCATCTTCACATTGTTGCATTCTCAGTAAGCTCACAGGGTTGCTTGCCATACTGCTTATCCAAGGTACTGGAAAGTTCAACTGCTCCACATTGCTTCTAAGCCTGATGCTAT